AATTTTTAACCTATAGAACATTCTTTTGAAGTATTATTGAAAAAAATAGGGTTATTATGTTATCCCAAGGATTTGTGATTTTATTTCGTCGATGAAGGGGAATGATTTTTAGTTATGGCATAACTTAGGGGTTGTATTTAATTTCAAATATTATATATTTAATGAAAACGACTTAAGTATATTTGGATATTATTATCTAACAAATCACACAAACATTTGAACTTTATTTCTGAATTCTTTGTACAGTTACCTGTTCTGTATGCAAGTAAAAAGTTTAATGTAGTTATGATACTAAAATTGTATTTATAATTAATTTATTAATGTTTTAATTCACTATATGTCGTGTAGTCTCCTTAGCAGTGATCAAATTATGAATTGGATGTAATTAGACGTTTCGGGACACATTCCCAGGTCCACCATTTAGTCACATATCTCGACTTGCTGGGTCGATCTAGACATACGTTTCCGCCCGTCTGTCCATTATAATTTTTAAATATATACACAATTTTAAATAAAGTCATGAAATTTTGCTTGTATGTATGATTCTGGCCAAGGGATTAATATTAGGTTGGGGAAAAAGAAATCAATTATTTGTATATGAAATGTAGGACTTTATTGATCATGCTTTGGAATGTCCGATTTGGGGCAAATCGGACATGTTTTGTGCATGTTTTGTTGTATGATTTATTTGATTGGCAAAAAACTTTAGTAGTCAATTTTCACAATCCATCCTAGATACCAATTGTTTATTATTAAAAAAAAATTGCAATGCAAGAAAAAAATATGATAATCGCTGTATGGCGGATGCCTTAAAACTTCTCAATCAAGCTCCCGAAGTTTCTGGCGAGTCATTGTAGATGTGTGTGGCCTAGCGTTGTCCTGGTGGAACACGACATCTCACTTGTTGGCCAATTCTGGCCGTTTCTGGTCAATTATTATCTTCAAACGGTCCAGTTGATGACAGTAGAGATCGGAATTTAGCGTTTGGCCATATGGAAGCAACTCATAATCCCCTTCCAGTCCCTCCAAATGCATAGCAGAACCTTCCTGGCCGTTAATCCTAGTTTGGCCCCCGATTGAGATGCTTCACCGCTCTTTGACCACGATCGTTTTCGCACTATTGAAATTGGGGAAAATCGGTTCAGATTTAGATATAGCTCCCATATATATTTTCGTCCGATTTAAGGTAAATGGGGCACCAAAGTCCCTCTATATCTTTCGATTTGCATGAAATTTGACATAGAGTACTGAATAAGTCTAGAATGATGTGTGCTAAGTTTCGGAAAAATCGGTTCTGGTTTCGATATAGCTCCCACATATACATATATATTCGTCCGATTTTACATAAATGATGCACCAACCTTCTAATGTGTCCGATAACCACGATTTTTTGCACAACGTATCATGTTGAGACTTGAATGCCGTTATTGCGTTTTGTTGAAATGTATGTAGATGCTGTCATAGCTTCCATATGTATTTCGAATGGATGTCTGAATGAAGTTAAAATGTTAACAGTGCGGCGACCGAATAGCATGTATTAATTTTGCTATAATTCGTTTTTCATAAATTTGTCCCATGGTGTAAAGTCGACTTTAAATCTGCCCGAATGAAATTAAATTTATCATAGGTTGCAGAAAGACTTGCGTATGTTCCTTACTGGTTGCTCTAGAAGTTACTATTAAGACCCAACGTTGCGCAATTTTACATGTGGAGGGGAATTTGGCCAAAGAATAAGCATTGTGTGAAAATTTAATAGATTCCATTCTATGGCATAGATATTTACTCCTAAATGATATAAACTGGAAATGTGGGTATTATACGAAAATATTTACCTACTCTGATATTGTCTGGTATTACCAATAACACGCTAAAGGGAGTAAATTTCACTCTGATCGCTATAAAATTGTATATAAAGTTCCTGTTATTCAAATACGACGCCTTTTGATTTGAATAGTGATCAGATGATAATTAAGGGATGAAATATGATGACCAAAGCTTTATTTTTTCTAGTCGCTCCAGAGCCAAAAATTATGTGCCAAACATCACAAAGTTTACATTGGGTATCTGACCAATGGCTATCGGTCAATATTTAGCGGGTTAAATGATTTACTTTGGGAAAATATGGACAGGAAAATTTAGCAGTTCTGGTAATCTCTAGACAATAGGATGCAAATATCTCGAAATATTGCCCAGACTTGGGATATAGATTCGCAGAATGTTAGAATTCAGTGGTAGATGTGTTGGGTATGATATCACCGTCCGATCACACTTCACCGCTCAATGGTTTTAATTTAGTGTTCTCAATAATAAAATGTTAGCTATTCCTGGAATATTATGTTACTGTAGTAAAAAGTTTTCTAGATCTAGTTAATATTGGCTCAGTCGGAAATTAAGTTGGAAAGAGTACGAGTTTTTTAGGGAGTATACTCTCCACTCTTTTATTTTGTTTGGGAGTGCTCGCGAGTACTCCTTGTTGAAGAAAAAGAGTGTGAGTCAAAATGTTCGAAATAGAGTAAGAGTTCACTCTAAGAGTGAAATCGAGTGGACAAATAAATTTGGTTGTTTGGTTATTTGTGTGTGTGTAGTACCATTTTTTTTTTTTTTTTTTTGATGTTGATCTTTTTTGTGGTTTGGGGAGATAGATCATGTTCAAAAAACATAAAAGGACATTGATTATTTTGTTTATTGAAAATGTTTACACAAGTGAGGTACAAATAAAAATCTTATATGAAATGACTTACATAAAGAGAACGCAGATAACGAGCTTGTTGATGCATGCTTTCCCAGCAGTACTGCAAACCAAACATCACAAAACAAACAAACAATGCACACAAACAACATCAAGTAAAACAACGGCATCACAAACAAACAAAAATAAATGAGTACTCGGCAAGAGTGTAATCTGCTCGATTTCGAGCGTATTTCACTCCCACTCGAAAACGAGCGAAGCACTTGCGCTCTTATTTGAGTGGCAGAGAAAAATATAGTATACTCTATTTACTTTTTCTACTCGCAGGAGTACTCCCGCTCGAATTCGAGTAAAGAGTGAAACTCGCTCTTTCGGAGTTCTGATTTGTATATCAATCACAATATTTAAATGTATTTGCATGTTTACATTGGGATCCTGCATATACCAAAAACGGTTGAGGATATTACATAATCGGACCCGTTCGACGGCGGTCTATTCCATTATTCAGCACTGCCAAACGTAATGCATTTCAATTATTTATTTTGTAATTGCGTTTTTATCTAAATCATAAAACTATATCTAAATCAATTAATGTATAATAAACTTTGAATATATATATATATATATATATGATATATATATATATATATATATATATATATATATATATATATATATATTTTTTTTAGGTCGATATTCTTCTTTACAAATAGACCACATCTATTTTTTTATTTTAATGAATCATTTATTTCCATTTTGTTGAGGACTTACAAAGCGTATGTTCTTCATATTAAAAGTAGTAGGTGTAGTTACATATTATAATAATAATGAAAATAATAGATGAAAAAAGCAAACAAATGAAAAGAAATTGAATATTTAAATCTCGAAATGAAATTGATTTGTGTTATATATGTGTGTGTGTGCATGTTGCTCTTACATGGCAACGAGTACTGATGAACATTTATTTTTTCAGATGATATTGCTTTTGGCAATATCGTCACTATTTTCATTCGAAATCATTATTTATGCATTTTTATTTACAATGCAATAATTGGAATTACTGAGCTGATAATCTGTATGCATATATGCATGCATGCAGTATGTAAGTATGTTCATAAAGAAATGTGAAGATATTACTTGATGTGGATGTGTATGTGTATGTACATGACATGGATATTGGCACATGCAATGGATGGATGTGATATCTGATACATACGCAAGCGAATTATTTTTCTAGATAATGGGTTTCAATTACAAATATGTTGCAAACCCTCCCAAAGAAGCTTCGAATAAGCAAAATAAATGAAATTCTATTTTTTCACTTTCGCCTTTCTCTTTCTTCTCTCATTTCATGTGACTTCGTTCGGTGTCTGACGTTTGTGAATCCTGCCATGGATAAATGAATGGTTGTGTGTCAATGTGGCCGCTTCTCACTAATTACATCATTTGTCACATCAAATGCATTGACGCTTCTGCTGCTCCTGCTGCTTTCCGTGCGCTCCAACTTCGTGACGATGATGCCATTATGGCAAAACAAACATCCGGTGTTTGCCTTGCACATATCTGGCTGCATGGCTGGCTGACTGGATGTCTGTCTCTCTGTAAATGCGGGTGTATGATTATAATGCATACTCTGGAATAATCTGAAAATTACGTTCTTCTCCATCTCAACGCCTTCGGAACCATGCTACCATGCAATGCCAAAACAAATGGCCTTTATCCTTATCTCCGCCACATTAACATGATCGCTGACATCACTGCTCATGGATGCCCGATGCTCGGCTCCAAACAACTGAACATACTTATGATGGTGCTGGGCTGGTATTCCGTTCCATTCCATCATTATGCCTTGGCTTATGCTGCGGTGATTACAACAACTGGCAACATTGTCTGAACAACGAAATTCATCAACATACACACTCACTCGTGCACACAACCATATCTGTGTTTTAATGGGGAATAAATACAATGCGGCATATGGATGTTTCATGAACTCATCGCTCATTTATAATCACCGACTTTGACCTGATTTGTATGATGTCGCTTGTCTGTTTGTTGCTGTTGGCAAATTCCTTTCTTCTCTGCATACTGATGGTAATGATGTCAAATATTGGCTATGCTATGGCATTATTTCTTGCCACCTACCTTGGGCCACACATCCTCAATCTTAACTGACACACCTGTAAACAACCCAATGGGAAAATGCTGTTTGTGTGTGTGCGTGTGTGTTCATGTATAATCCTGCATATGCATTGTTCGACGCATACGATTAAACGACGTCCTCGTCGTCTTCCGAATCGGGCAACCTGACATGTTTGCTTCATTTGAAATTCACGGTCGTCGCTAACGTCGTAAACACATGGAACCGGATGTGATGTGACGTATGACAACATAAAACAGCCCTGCTGTCAGCCACACTGCGCACATATCAAAAGGCCGCCTGTGACACAGATCAAGTTGTAATTGCATGTCCACGTGGCACCAGCATATCGATTGAGTTTGCACAATATAATAAATTTATAGCCAAAGGTAAGTCCGAAACCACCAACGAAACATATGTACATAATTGTGTGTACGAGTACATATGTATATATTTACGCGTAAATATGTTTACTGACGCCTATCCAGAGCATATACAATATTTACTACTTTTAATGCAAATAATCCAATTTCCTTTCGGTAATCGAAATTCACATTTACCGCAAAACCAACCACAGTCCACTGTAGATAATTCAGGGAAATCAAATTTTCAATAAAAAAGTTTAGTGTCGAAAAAATATACATACACACACATAATATAAATAACCTCAATCAATTATACAAATATGTATGTATGAACAAAGGAAATAAGAAAATATTATTAGTGGCATATGAAATGTTAATGTCCGGCAAAGCAGACGTAAAAAAATTGATTTAATTGGCTTTAAATAAAAACGATTATTTGAAAAATAATAATTTGAAAAATATCACTCCTAGGATGTTTGGCATTGACAATTATATATCGGTCTACGTTTCAGGATAACGCTGATTTTTGTCACGTTTTTCAAACATTATTTCGAATTGCTTGGTTTTTGAAGGCTAACTAATTATAAATTCAGATAAAGGTTTTGTATATAAACTGTTGAATTTACCTGAAATATTTACCATGAATAGATTTTATTATTCCTAACCCTATAATAAAATATATACCAATTTACTCGAAAATTTAATTGGTAAATTTTGACACTGCTTTAGGAACTCGTTATTTTGCAACAATTTGTACAAAATATTACTAAATGTTGTCTTTTTACGCAAAAATGTAGTAAAGAGTGTGAATTGAGTGAGCAATTTTGAATTTTGTATTGGTGAGTAAAGTAAAGCTTTATATAAGCAAAACAAAAAATTATTTCCCTTTTGTAATTTTATTGTTTGAAGAACAATAATCTCTCTTACTCTCACAAAATAATTTATTGGGTAATTATTATATTCTGAATGGAATATATGTTCTTTATATATAACGTAGGCTGTACATGGTAGGAAGAATTGTTCATGATGAGAACGAAATTACAGATAATTCCCTTAAACAAATAAAAGCCGGTATCGTTATATGGGGACTATTGTAAAAAGTTAATCAATATTGAATATATATAGTTTATGGGGTCTGCGGTAAATATTTCGAGGTTTTGCAAACGAAACGACAAATTTAATATACACTTCACCTTATGGTGGAATGTATAATGAAATATGTATCATTCAGTCAATATATTTGTGGTTCATTTGCATTCTAATAATTTTTTTATTTTATCTGTGTATTCAAATAGATGGCATCAGTATTGAGGAATTGTGTCCTGCAAACAGCGAGGGAACCAGTGAGAATCGTTCCAAAGCTAAACACCTACTACGTGGCTCAACGTTCGGATCCCCAACACAAAAGGTGCCCGCAAATCGCTATGTTAATGGCGCACATTTATCCGAATTCACTAGCACAAGTGGCTCCGCAGGCAGCATAGGTGCTCCCACGACCGCGGATGACACTTCAGCATCCACAACAACAAGTAGTGACAACGATGACAATATACCCGACAATTGTATGTGGCCGAATGCTTTACAGGTATGTAGCCACTCATCATTCAAAACAAAAACGACATTGTACAGTGTATACGGTGACATTCACTACACTCGCCTGTACACATGGCATTACACATTTACATATGTCGCAGTGTTCTATCAATAACCAATTAGTAAACGTTCAGAAGAACTCTGCCGCTGTCATTCGAAATTATCGCAACACAATTTAAATCCTTTTCACTTTTGCTTAAAATGTAAATCAAGTTGCTCTCGAGCACAATGTTCGACATCTGTGTGGCAACTAGGGATGACAAAAACGAACCATTTTACAAATCCCCAGATTTTGAGAGTTAACATAACGAACAAAAAATAAAAAAACACACACACAACCACGCATAGACATAGACGACCGTAGCAACCGCAACTAAAGCATAGAATGATGGACCATTTCACTTTTATGGACAAATTGGGATAAATAACAAAGACAAAAGAACTTAAAGGTCGGCAATTTATGATAATTTATTATTTATTCAAATCAAACGAATTCGAAATGATACACCAAATGTTTGTAGCCTTTGGGATTTTGGTCCATTTTATTATAAACCCTAAATTATTTACATATAAATTGAAGGTAAACTCTTTTAAAAAATGGAACAAAATTCCGTCTTTTCTCTGGTAAGTGATTTTGTATAAAATTTTGCAAAGCGGAAAATGTAAAATAATCATTCGTTTGCTATGACAACTAAAGATTTTAATAAGAATGAAACATTGATCCATGAAATGGAAAAGTTTTTTTATTTTTCACAATGTTTTTCTAATAAATTTTAATTTAAGCCAGCATTATATTTTACGAAGTAGAGTGAAAATAATTCGACTTCATGTAACTTTCAGTGCATTAAAAGTAAAAAAAATGGAGACATGATTATTTCCTATGTAAAATTTTGTGGTGTACGGATAATAATGTTAACTTTAAAATCGGACAAAAAATTATCAATATTGATTTCTACATCGATGACAAAGTATACAGTTGTATACCTTGGAAGAAAAATGCCAAATGTCCGAACCTTGACACAGTTGAATTTAATTCGTAGATGCACTTTCGCTACAATATTCGAAATAAATACGGTTTATCAAGCAACGACATTGGTAAGACACATTGTCCAATACGCCCGACGAGCCGCTTAACCAACGACGAAACTCGTCGCATAATAGTGGAAATGCAGTATCTCTCGGGCTGTCCTTTTTATTGCAACATCGATCACGTAGAACATCTCGAAAGAGAAATAAATAAAAATAATTCTTTTCATACCTTGTACTTTTCAACAGATATTAAACCATGAAGAGCGTTAAGTATTTGGCGTTTGGTATAAATAAAATCCAATCTACTATCAGTTGACATTTACTCAAATTTTAATTTTTGTATTTCTAAATAACCAAACATTTTTAAGACAAAGAATTTTTTGTCTATCTGAATATTAAGCATAAATAAATATTAAACTTTCATATTGCAATTTGCGAAACATCTTCAAATATTGATTTGTTTTTAACTTTCTATTTTCGTTTCAAATCGACATCCCTATTGTCACTTTACCCATTTCTTTCCGATTATGTTAAACGTCACTTTCTTATCTTCGAACATTTTCTCACGTATTCTATTCAATTTACCGCTTTCATCTGGATAATTCAATTTATCGAATGTGTGGAAATTTGTATTTTTTACAATCTACTTTCTTTTCTTTTACATGGCACTCCATTTCCGAGTGTTATAGAATGAAAATATTGTTTTAACGCCATGATAACATGTTGTACTCTCAATTACAAAGGAAACTAGAACCAAATATAAAGTTTTACTGACAAAAATGTATGTACCAAGATCGTAAAGTAAGCGAATCACTAGAAAATAGAATGTACTCGTAATGATACTACTTTGTTTCTTGGTACTTCCTTTGTTTCTAATAGGTTTAATGTCACACTCGGAACAAATTGTATTTTTATACCCTTCACCACACTGTGTTTGTAACAGGCGAAATGAATCGAGATAGACCCATGGTTCCTTTTGAGAATATGCCTAGAATCACTTTCTGAGTCGATTTATGCATGTCCGTCCGTCTGTTGATGTTAAATTGTAAACAAAGTCCAGGTCGCATTTATAATACGATTTGGCTGAAATTTGGTACAGCTCATTTATGTGGACCAAGGACAAACCCTATTGAAATTGGGAAAAATCGGTTCAGATTTAGATATAGGCCCCATATATATTTTTGTCTGATTTACGGACTTTAGACTCTGCAAATTATTCGATTAGCACGAATTTTTGCATAGCGTACTGAATTAAGTCTATAATTATATATGCCAAGTTTGAAAATCGGTTCAGATTTAGATATAGCTCCCATATATAGTTTCGCCCGATTTTAGGTAAATGGTGCACTAAAGTCCCTAAAAATTTTTTGATTTGCACGAATTTTTGCATAGCGTACTGAATTAAGTCTAGAATGATGATCCCATATATAGTTTCGTCCGATTTTATGTAAATGGTGCACCAAAGTCCCAGAAAATCTTTCGATTTGGACGAATTTTGGTATAGCGTACGGAATTAAGTCTGGCAAAGCGTATGGAATTAAGTCTAGAATGATGTGTGATAAGTTTCGTGAAACTCGGTGCATATTTAGATATAGCTGCCATATATAGTTTCGCCCGATTTTAGGTAAATGGTGCACCAAAGATCCATAGCTAGGCCGATTGACACAACGTACTGAAGTTAATATAAATTAATCTCTGATAAGTTTCCTTGAAATCGGTTTAGATATATATATATATATATATATATAGCATAGCTTCTATATATAATTTCGACTTATTCATGTTAATTGTACACCAAATGATCAATGGGTGTCTGATTGAGATGAAACTATAAACAGTGCAGCATACCGAATAGCGGGTGTCAAGTTTGCTTTAAATCGGTTTACAAAATTTAGCATATGTTGCAGAATCACATGTGTAGGGATTGATGTTAGTCGGTTCAGATATACATAAAGATCACATATTGAATATACCCAAAGTGGTGAAGGGTATCATATAGTCGGCTCTGTCCGACTTTACTGCTTTCCTTACTGGTCATTAATTTCAGAATGGTATGTGTATGTTTTTTTAATTGTTATTAGCATCTCTTGTATATACCTAAAGTGGTGAAGGGTATCAATAGTCGACCCCGACTTTTGAACTTTCCTTACTGTTTCTTTTGGTTTTTTTTTTTTTTTGTTTTTTGAAATATTCTACTCATTCTATTTCTAATTAAATAAATCTACAGCCCGCATGAGGACCATGGGCCAACCATCATAGAATTGTTCTTGAATATTGCGACGACGTTATTAGTCTCTACATCTTAAAGTAAATCTATTTATATACAGTGAGTGTAATAAGTATTTTGCCTCGATACAAATTTGACAAAATCCCAATATATACGGCTAAAGCCAGCATTCTAAAGATGTAAAATGAATTATGTATGATGGAATATGTTTCTGGGCATATTTAGATCTTATTCTGCTGAAATCACTGCGAAAAAGTAAACCAGTAAGAAAAGCAGTATAGTCGGACGGGGCCGACTATATGATACCCTTCACCATTATGGGTATATTAAAAAGATGCATCCTAACAGAAGGGCCATTAACATGAAATTGGATGAACTAAAATATGTGGCTTTTATCTAAATGTGAATCGATCAATCCATAAACATGTCATTCGCCTGTTACAGTGGGACACGATTATGTAAATCGATTTAAAGCAAATATCAATCGGGCACCCGTTGTATATTTGAAGCCCAATTAACACGAAGTCGGTCGGAAATATATGGGCTACATCTGTAGGGTATCATATAATCGGCCATGTCCGACTCTATACTGGTTTCACTATAAAAAATTGATTTTTACAAAAAGCAAAACAAAATATTTTTTTTGTATGTTTATTTCACAATTGAAACAAAGCAGATTTTGATCGATAAACATTTAAAATTGGGTTGGCAATTCTGGTAAAAATACACTTTAAATATTTTTAAAAAATTTGTAATTTTTTTGTTTGACAATGAAGCGTTGTATCGCGAAGTTGTTTTTATGAAGCACTTTTATTAAAAGCTAATTCACATTTCAATGCATTTCTAACTAAAAGAATAATAACACAGCAATATTAATATGTTTACATATTTTGTTTATAAAACAAACTAAATATTTTTTACAATATTCGATATTCAGCGTAGAAATGTCTTTCTACTCATTGTCATGAGTTTTTTCATAAATTATCGTAATATATCGACCCATATTCGCCAAAAAACGTAACCCTCAAATTTTGAATTTTTATAAATTCAGATTTAATAAAGCTATTATTTTGAAATATAGAACTATAGTTTAAAACAAAACTAGTTTACAACAAAGTTATAGTTCCAAATTTCAATATAATAGCTTTGGTTGATTTTAATAAAATTTTGTATTTAGATCCTGTAGGATAAGTTGAAAGCTATTTTTATAGCCAAAAGTTTTATCATGTTAAGATGTGTCAGACATATTTATTTATTTAAAACTTTAAGATGACATCATCAGTTGTTCTAATGATACCAGATCAAATGATCCGGCCACGTCATCCCTGTTGTTATTTTCCATTCAAAATTGTTATACCCTCCACCATAAGGTGGAGTGTATATTAAATTTTTCATTCCGTTTGCAACTTACGTCTGTCTGTTAAAATCACGATAGAATCGCAATATTTAATATATAGCTTCGAAATTTGCACGAATATTGATATTACTCGTAGGATGTTTGGTATTGCAAATGGAAAATAACGGTCCACGTTTTAGTGTAGCCTCAAGTAACGTTACCTCCCAATATTCAGTATTTTGGACACACTTTTCCACCGAGTTGTCTCGTTGTTGTCTCATAACACATATCCGTACCAAAAATTATTAATATTGACCCAAGTTTCAGGGTAGCCCCCATATGGTAAATTGCTGCCTGGAGAAAACAATATACCAAACTGAAGACCTTCAAATAGACTTTTGAATGGAGCCTATGAAGAAATATGAGTAATTAGGGTGTTCCATTATAAGGGACTATATTCAAATAGTTATTCGTTTTAAATTTATTTATTAATTTCTGATAGATGTATAGAATAATAAACAAATATTATCAGAGATCCGTAGAAAGTGGTGAAGAATATGTAATAAATAATATAAAACGGTCGTAGAAAATTATTCTGTTACAAAAATTGGAAAAATATGTAGCTAAATACACCTTTAAATTGATGTTCTAATTATAAAATTCTGCATTCCCATTCCGACATGTAATGCTCGTACAAAATTACAGTTTGATTTGTAAATTTTGTATATTTGTAATTAATCTTAAAATATTCTTATATTATGCCGTCTGTGACATCTGCGAATATTCCTAAACCATATATATTCCTTATATTACGGTCCCTGTCCTATTTTAAAGATCCTACTCGCAACTAATGTAGCTGTAATTTTTTGAAGAATTTACGCCCAATAAAATAATAATTACATTATATTTAACTTTTGCTTATAATTTTACCAATGAATAATAGCTCTGCAATATTTCTATATTAATAATTTTCTAAATATATATTTGTTCCAATTACTGTTTCCCCATAGTAAAAACTTATATGTAGTGCAATAATCCATGTATGTATGTCGGGTATTTGTTAACATTTGTTGGTATATTTTAAGTGTTCGCAATTTTATTCAATATCTAATACACCTAATGTAATTCACAAAACAATTTACTACAAACACACAATTTTTATATCACGTTGTGTATGTAGCCGGGCATCAATGTTATTTTATGTTCCGATTTATTAAATTGGAATACCTAACCGTGTACACATCAGCATAAAAATATGATTTAATTCAGTTTACAAAATTGGCATGTTTTCAATTTCCATGTTATGTGGTTTTAGTTTTTCACTCGGTGATGTTTTACATAAACATATTTCAGGTCATAGATTCAATGATGATGATGATATTGGTCCAGGTTTGTAACTGCGAAAATTGTGTGAATGTCCGTACACCCACTACATCCATACATATGCATACGGATGAAGATTTCAAAATTCATCAAACTTCAACAATCTGAACAATGTCAATAGTGTTGGGGTGTGTATATTGTTTTAACGGCAAATTGTATGACGACATGGTTCTATTTTCAGAGATAGAAATTTCAATATTTTGCTATATGAAAACATACATATAGAACCTAACAAATATAATCACAATATTCAGAGATGCGATCTAGCCTTTGAGATAGCTTGGATGTGAAAATTGAATTTTGTTGTTTATACAATTCGAACATACACCAATTCAAGAATGTTCTTTTAAAATTTCAAGTGAAAATCGCAACAACTCTTGAAGATATAGCCGATTAATTGTGTATCGGCTGTATCAAGCGACGGCAATGATCCAATCCGTTAGAAATTTTAACACGTTATTCCGTACATCCATACATACAGGTGTCTTATGAACTAGGATAAATGTAATAAATCATGGCAATTTTTTAAAAATTAAATGCCGTTGGAATTTTTGCAATCGGACGTTCCCGTGTTGGGAAATTTATACTGTTAACAAAATGACGATCGCAATTATTATCCAATTGTCATGAGACAATTGGATAATAATCACCTCCCATAGGGCATTTACATCTATGCAAAATTGTGTTATTGAAGGATACATTCTCTGCTGTTATATACATTGTTATGATCTATACATACAGTTCAATGTGATTGTAAAATAATTGATAGTATTCGTATTATATTATACGATCAACTATATTCGAAACTATTTTTTTTAATAAGAACCAGTAAGGAAAGTAGTAAGGTCGGACGGGGCCGACTATATGATACCCTTCACCACTATGGCAATAAAATATGTGATATTTATCTAAATGTGAAACGACCTAGATCTATCCATTAACATGCCATTCGTTTGTTACAATGGGACAAAAGTATGTAAATCGACTTCAAACATATATCACTAGGTCATTCGGTGGGCTATGTCTGTACTTCTAGAAAACGCAACTACGTTATTCTATGCTTAATTTTGTATGTTGTGCAAAATTTTATGTCAATCTGACACACATGAGCAGTTTGATGCAAATCGAAAGATATATGTGGACTTTGGTGCACCATTTGCATCAAATCGGACGAAAATATATATGGGAGCTATATCTAAATCTTGACAGATTTTCAGGAAACGTAACACACACCATTCTAGACCTAATTCATTACGCTGTGCCAAATTTCGTGCAAATAGAAAGATATATAGGGACATTGGTGCACCATTTACATGAAATCGGAAGAAACTATATATGGGAGCTATATCTAAATCTGGACCGATTTTCAGGAAACGTAACACACACCATTCTAGACCTAATTCATTACGCTGTGCCAAATTTCGTGCAAATCGAAAGATATATTGGGACTTTGGTGCACCATTTACATGAAATCGGAAGAAACTATATATGGGAGCTATATCTAAATCTGGACCGATTTTCAGGAAACTTAACACACATCATTCTAGACCTAATTCATTACGCTGTGCCAAATTTCGTGCAAATCGAGAGATATATATGGACTTTGTGCATCATTTACATTAAATCGGACGAAAATATATATGGGAGCTATATCTAAATCTGAACCGATTTTTCCCAATTTCAATAGGGTTCGTCCTTGGGCCAAATAAGTGACTTATGCCAAATTTCATCCAAATCGGATTATAAATGCGACCTGTACTTTGTTCACAAAAATACATAGACGGACAGACGGACATGCGTAAATCGAATCAGAAAGTGATTCTATGCATATTCTCAAAAGGATCTATGGGTCTATCTTCTTTCCTTTTGCCTGTTACAAACATATGCACAAATACATAATACCCTGTACCACAGTTTGGTGAAGGGTATAAAAATGCGAACATTAATCCGTACAGACGTATATTCACTTCACCCATGAGTTGCATTGTCAACGATTTATAATTGAAATAAAATAAACACCATCTCCATAGGATGCATGTTTTTATTTTTTAACACTTTTAAAAATTCTGTTCAAAAGTATATGTAATTAAAACAAATTAAGATTTTATAAATATTTCCCTTTGGCTTTTCGCTCTATTAATTAGGTCACTTTTGAGTTCCACTTCCCTCCTGCACTGAATGTAAATCTTTGACAAGTGTCGGATATTTAAAATGTGTTTCGACTGTCAGTTAATAAAATTTAACTTTAAAATGTATTTAAATTGAATTATATCTACATACAGAAGCCTATAAAAACATATGACATTCCATGCGAATGTGTGTATGCAAGCGTTTGTGCTCTGAATAACTTTGCCAACAATAAATACACTTGCATATGGTTAAATATGAATATGGTGGGTGGGCGAGTGAAACAATAAAAAAAACACACGGGTAAAACAAACAATTGAACCACACATGTGAATATTGTCTCGATTTGCAAATAAAAAAACACCCATCCACACAAATTACATTCGTTCACGTACATACATGTACTCGTACATACATATGTGAAAGTTGTTGAAGTTGTAGTATTCATTTGCGTTTAAACAAACATTACTACCACCATGAATATGTAATGTGTACGAGCATGTGTTTACATTCGAAACAGGACAAAGGCAAAGCTACTGTCGACAGTAGTCACAAGGACATACACACATACGTTACTACTCCACAGCCAAACTGACGATTGTCATCCGAATTGTACGACTGACATCCCAGCACAGCCAGCATACGATGAGAAACAAGCGACCATGGCTCTTAACATTAATTGTTGTTCTTTTAATTTTTATCGTTTCATAACACACTCTTCGACACAATCAAAGTATTCGTTGTTGCAGACCGTTGTCGAAGCGTGCCAGAAGAAGAAGCACTGCAAATTCAATGCTCGGCCACAGTTCTATGGACTGGGCGCCAGTGGCGTCGGCGAAAGTAGTGGATCCTCCAGCACATATCACAGCACGACTGTCAGCACGAACATCATCAGCATGGATCCCTGTCCGAAGCGAAGGAAAATTGTGGAAATCGCATACAAGTGCCGTCCATGTAAGTACCCAAGCCCAGACACCAACTAGGCTAGTTTGAAGAATTTATTGTGTTTCATTCGTTCGTTTTGCTTCTTATACAACAAATGCATACACCAATACACACACACTCTCGCTGTTACTCACACACACAAACGTTCTACTAGACTCATGTAACTATAACAATATTATAACCATTTTAAAGTGCCACTGCAACAGCAAGACTCATAAAAAGTTTTACTAAACAAAATATCAACTTAATTTTATACTCAACTAGTGTTGCCACTAAACACACACACACACATACACTCATGCACATCGACACGGCAATTTGAAAACTTCACAATAGCTGCAGTATGAGGCAGTTGTAGCAGCAACAGCAACAACAACAATAATTGTAACAAACATAATATAGTGCTTTATAAAATATTCTTTTATGAAACTACTCCAAAGAACACAAACGACAGCAACATTAACAATTTATTATGGAACATGTTCATTTGTTCCCTTAGCACCTAAATATGTAATCTATTGAGTGCAGTAAAACACTGTAGCATTACGACTCTTTGGGCCGATATATTTTTAGTTTATAGATAGACATGAAGGAGGATGTTTTTTTTGTGAAAAGAGATATAGATATTTTGATGCAGACAGGAATGGTCCAAATGTCGCATAGATCCGTAGGTTGGAAAGAGAAGCGGGGACCATCAGATGTCGAATTGTGTTAATCCACCATCCATTAACCGTCATCTTTCAAGGTCTGGCATAAAGTTGTTTACAATTAAGCTAGTACAGTGGAAATATAGTTCATACGTATGTTGAAGTTTTCATTAATATTGCTGTTAATTTTTGGCTGCTGTTTTTTTTTTAATTACCAAGCGAAACGTTTCAAAATGTCCATGTATACAATTTTGGCATATGGGACCAAAGTTGTAATGTTTGGACGCTAAATAATAATGTGAAAAGTTTGTATTACCGCAAATATGCAGGATAATTGGTCTTCGAACCACCATTTATAAAACCACCGCTAATGAATTGATAAACTTTGAGAAGAAGGTTAATTTAAAGACTTTATTTAATTTCGGTCGGATATACGTAGCATATTTCGGCCACGACATATATACATATACATATATATCATTTATATATGGAATCAATTTGTTTACCAAAATATATGGAAAGACATTGTGACCCCTAACAATGTCTTTCCATATATTTTGGTAAACAAATTGATTCCATATATAAATGATATATATGTATATGTATATATGTCGTGGCCGAAAGATGCTACGTATATCCGACCGAAATTAAATAAAGTCTTTAATCTAACGATCAATTCCCGGGTACATTTGTACCCTTTTTTGTTCGATTAAAAAATGCTGTAAAATTTTAAGCAATAGAGATATTTGGATCAAATTTTGAGGAATCATTCTTGAGGTATATTTACCTGAGTAGATCAATAACTGTGGTACATTTGTACCCATTCAAAGTTAGTGATGTAATTCATTAAAATCTTGCACTATATTGTGTTTTTTTTTAAGTTATTCTATACGGATCTGATCTAGATGTAGAAACCTAAAATTATATATACAATAAAATAATATATTAAAAGCTATGCTTAAATGATAATATATCTAAAACAATCATAGTAATTTCATTACAGCATTCAAATGGGCTAAGTTGTTTTAATTATTTTCATAGGAATCTCATTTAGACGTTCCCCAACCTCTCTGCACCCCTCGAGCATTTGCAAAGGTACCCACCCGAATTTCTTGTATTCCTAACTGGATACATTAGTTTGGGGAAAAAGAAATCCATTATTTTTAATATGAATATTTAACATGCTTCGGAATGTCAGATTTGGGCCAAATATGCACCGTTTGGTTGCAATTTTATTTGAAAAAAAAAACTCTAGTAGTCGATTTTCACAATCCACCCTAGATACCAATGTTTTATCATTAAAGAAATTTTGCAATGCAAGAAAAATATGATATTAAACTTCCCAACCAAGCTCCCCAAGTTTCTGGCGAGTCACTGTAGATGTGTATGGCCTAGCGTTGTCCTGGTGGGACACGGCACCTCTCCTGTTGGCCAATTATGGCCGTTTCTGGTCAATTGTAAGTGGTTTAACACAGTTTTATGGTCGATTTTTAGCTCCTGGGCGATGTTACGATTGACCGATTAAATTGCTTGATCGATGCTTTACGAGTACAGCCATCTGCCGAAAAATAATGGATTTGTTTATCCCAAACTAATAAAATATATATTGCAAATAGGAAACCCCACCCATAGATTTTGCACAACACTTTCCCTTTAAATAGTTATATTTGTTTTTTTTTTTTCAAAATAGTCTAAGTAAAATTCCATGTAAATTTAAATAATATAAAAAAAGGAATAAAAAAGAATCAACCCCAAGGATACGTTTCTTTCAGCGTCAGCAATGTAATTAAAATAAAACTGTTGGATTATAATGGGCAATTCCCATATCTCAACAAGAGTTCACCAGATTAGCTAGTATCTGTATGTATGTACATATGTATAAGCGTGGGCTAATAGTTAAAAGTAACAATGAAAAGTGATTATCGCAATTTATGCATCTAAACGAGCGCCAGAGGATTTAATTTAAAAGTTTAACACACACACAAACAGACATCCATAAACTCGTTACTAGTATTTCCTACAAAAAAAAATGAGTAATGGGGGTCAGTTTGTTCATATAGGAATTTGCTTTGATGGCCGAATGCCAAAATATTGCTAACATAAAGAAACGTTATAATTTATACATATATTCAAATTGATGCACATATACATACACATGTATATATATTAGGGTTTTAGACCAAGAAAGTAGCACACTAGCAAAATTATAGGTATATTGTCCAGATAAAAAATAACAATGTTTTTGGTTGTTTCGATTTAAAAGTATTCGGTTTCCGTTTTTAACTGAGTTATAAGTATTTTCGGGTTTTTGTCTTTAAGATAAAAAATAAAGCACAAAATCTAAGAAGTAGAAACAAATCAAGGTACTGGTTTAGTTTGTTTCCAATTACGGTAAATTGGCTCTTTTGGCTCAATGGCGTCACCGCACAATGGAAAAAAATAAAAAACTATGAAACATTTATACTAGTGTGAGACAATATCGTTCATGTATTCACTCCATAAAAGGAACTATGACATTCATTCAGTTCCATAGTTTCTTTTAATTCGATCGTTCATTGGTAAATGTCAGTTCATTCGGTCTTCATCTTGGTCATTAAAGTGCGCAAGGTATCAGGTTTGTATATTGAAAATACCAGCACCATGAAAATCAATTTCGGTGATCGGATCCGATATAGTTAGAAGAAATAATTTTGGGGAAAACCTAAACTCGATCCCTTTTAAAAAATAGTTAAAAATGCTTAAACCTTTCGAAAGCTTTAATGTAATTCAGATAGATTATCATTTAAACCAGAATTTCAATATATTTTCCTTAAATGTATTTATAATTTTGAGTTCCAGCATCTGGCTCAGATCCGTATAGACTAATTTAGAAAAAAACCCGCATGGTATTTTAATTTTTGAATGAATTACAGTACAAATATTGATCTACGTAAATAATAATTTTAAAAATGTATTAAAATTATATATATGGGAAATATTTATAATTCCTGTTCCGAGAATATGTCCTATTCTCTTAGAACTCAACAACGTCGTATACGAATCCAAAATAAAATGGAAAATACAAGGTAACAATAACAGGAAGGAAAAGTCACACAACGGTAACACGGCGGCGATATTCATAACGCTTTGACAGGCAACATCATTCCCCATGTGATGTTAAATTTGTGCACTAATCTTGAAATTGATGTTAACGCGCATCGCCCTTTCAAATGAGTTTATAAGTGGGCTTGGTTCGGGACATATTTTCTGAAGCTTAATAGCTTCTGAAATGCTTCCATATAGATAAAAAAACTGTGAGTAAAAGAATAATACACTTTATTAAGTAATTTTACTATACATAAAATACCATATACAAGTATACACGAGTATGCTGAGGTTTTAGCATTTGAGAATATACAGTCTTGTCTGAGTATAGTAAACAGTCGATATGTGAACACCTCGATGTAGTGAAACACGCAGCGTAAAACTTATTATATCATATGCTTGGATAATTGGCCATATGATTTTTTATAAATTTTTTCTCAATCGAATTTTATTTTTTTATTTCTAGATGAATTTCGAAGTAAAGTGGCATGTCATAATGATGTAGCTCAGCTGGAGTGTAACCCGTATTCACGAATAGCTGTTTACAGTGCAAGTTTTGGACGAACAGAGTACGAGAGCATTCAATGCCCACAGCCTCAGGGAGTTCGAGAGGAAAGTAAGTTAATATTATATATATATATATATATATTTATGTAAAAAACTTTAGTTTTTAATTAATTGCCAATACTTTAGTATTTAAACACAAATGAAAGTATACACGTGTCATAATGTATTTCTCGGTATTTAGTTATTGAATGTAGTTAAAATCTCGGAGAGGACAGTGATCAGATGATATTTAGGAGATGAAATAGACCAATGTTTTTTTTTTTCTAGTCGCTCTAGAAGCCACTATTAAAGTTGGCACAGGAAATGCGATATGACCAACTAATTGAAATGGATATCGGTCAATTTGCGTTTTTTGACGTAAATATTCACTTTGAGAAAATATGATCCGGAAAATTTACCAGTGCATGAGAGGCAACTGTTAATCCCTAGTCAAGAGGTTGCAAATATCGCAAAATATTGCCCAGGTCTGGATTATAGATCCGCAGAAAGTAAGAGTTAAGTGGTAGTTGTATTGGCCACCATATGGCCCCATATGGTGACGATCACGCTGCACCGCCCAATGGTTTTAATTTAGGTTTCTCAATCGATACAAATGATCACTGGAGATCTTGGGAATGTATCTCACGATGGAGGTTATGTAAATATAGGTCCAGCAAAATCAATTGCATCTTCATACCCTCCACCATGAGTGGAGTATATATAAAAGATATCATCGTTTGTTTGGCGGAATTTCATTAGTACAGGAAGAAATGAGTGCCAGAGATTGTTTAAGGGAATATGCAAAATTGAACCCGTTCTTATCCAGCATTGTATATTTCTGACTATTCTTTAAAAAGTCCCAAATATGGTAATTTAACGTGGGACATATATGTAATAAGGTTTTTATAAATGAATTTAATAGAAACATATACACCTATCAAATATAAACAGATTTCAATTCATTCTTTCATATCTTTATATAACCATTTAGTTACTACACACATGTACATATAGCTCAATGAAAAAAAAATATTACTAGTAGTGAGATAAATGTAAAGAAAAAAGTATTATAAAGCAGTGAATACAATAAATTATAAAAAATACACACACAAACTAATTTCCTTTTTTGCAAATAGATGGTTGCTACACTTGTTTAGCACCAAAAGATGAGGACGGTTAGAACGCTAGAATACATCAACCATAACCATAGAACAATTTAATTAATTCACAATTCTTTTCTATTCTTGTCCTTCTTTTTCATTCTCTTTTCAACACTATGCATGGATATTGCTCGCACGTTGGCATATATTGAACATATCGAACTATTCAGCATGTTTGGCGTCGTATGCCACCGAAACCGTTATGCAAATATGCCATGGACGTCGTAGATGCAATCTGGCCGCAGATGCCAATACATTTGGTTCGCCATGTCAACCCAATTCACGGATGTATCTGAAAGTTGTTTACACTTGTGGTAAGTAAATCGTGACTTGTGCCACCGAGCACCAGTTGTGACCGCTTTGCTCTACACATTATAAAGTCGTCCTTGGTATGGTCTGCCAGCTTACTGCTTAACCAACATGTACGCCAACACAAATAAAACTAAAAAGGAGTTCAACAGTATACATGTGTTTTTCCAGCTTGCAACAATACACGCTTTAATCCATTTGAAATGAAATGAAGCACACACACACACAAACTTATACGCACATGTGTGTGTGCATATTTTGTGCGTGCTCTATGAAGCAACGTTCAATACACTTGAACGCTATACCATCGAGAGTTCTATCGAATATGCTGCTGTGCAAATCGCATGGGCCCAAAAACCAAACAAAGCAATTACGCATAACCTTGAAAGGTCATACCGTCTGATGTGATGTGAACGGATAATACGATTTACGTCTGTTAGTCGAATCGTAGACAACTGTGAGGCGGCCTCAACAGCAAATGAATTAAAATTTGAATTTTAAATAAAGGTGGAGCCATTAAGAATTATACGAATTCATTTGGGGGGAAGGAGAGAATGATTGTATCGGCAGCGTATATTTTACTAATAAGAAAGCCAATTGGCAAAAAGAAATTGAAAATGGTACACCCTCCGCCAAACGATGGCGGAAACATCTCGAAATAATTGGGAAAGATCACATATATTGACACCCGTTGATATTCAAAATTTTAAAGGTCCTGGCGATATTTTTGCACCCCAAATGGAGTTCGTAAAACACACCTTTATTTTTAGAATTCGCAATAGGCTTACCAGTATATTTCAAATCGTGGAACTGTCAAATTTTCAAATGCAAATTAATGCCAATTTTTATACCCTACACAACTATGTTGTCAGGGTATTTTAGCTTTGTGCAGCCCCAAAAGATTGTAACGCCGCGAAATATTGGTCCTAGACCCACCTTCAAGTATACCGATCGTCATATCTCGACTAGCTGAGTCGATCTCGACATGTGTGTCCGTCCGTATGTCCGTCTGTCCATTATAATTTGTAAACACGATTCAGGCCACAGTTATGGACCAATCTTCGCGAAATTTTGCATGTAGGATGGTTTCGGTTAATATTTAGGGGATAAAATGGACCAAATATAAAATTTTTGTCGGTTTTTCTGCTCGCTTCAGAGGCCGCAATTATTGCCCGAACATCGTGAAATATTACATGGAGAAGGGGATCGGGCCAAAGAAAAGGCATGCCTGTTTTGAAAAAGATCGGTCAATATTTAGCACGGCAAATGGACCCTGATTTTGTATGAAAAATGACGAAATTTGTATTTTATTGCGTATATATTTACCCCTGAAGGACATAGACCCGAGAAGTTGATAGTATATCCAAGAGAAGTGATTGACCTTTAATTTGATACCAATTATATTGTCGTATGTACTCGGATGTGGGAGTTACCCGTAAATATACCCCATTTAGTAACCCATTACCACACTGGAGGGCGGAAATATAGCGCTGATCGCTTTGAACTGTTCCATGAGGTTCCAGGTACGGTCAAGGACAACGCGTATAATTTTCGTGATGACCACATACAAAATTTGGGATAAATGGAACCGAAAACATAATCTTTTGTTTTTTTTCGAGTCGGCCACAAGCCGAACATCGGGACATCACGATGAAGAGAATCTGGACAAGTAATTAGAAGAGATGTACAGAATATTGATTGACTGATCTGGACTAATCGGTTAAGAGGGTGCAAATATCACGAAATATTGCCTAGGCTCGAAATAAACATCCGCAGAAATTTAGAGTTCCGTGGTAGTTGTGTGTACGCAAAATGTACATATGATTTATGAAGAATTCAAATATGCAACTACCACATATCTTAACATGACATTTATCTTAAATTATATTCAATTTTGTAAGTTTTTACGTTTTAGTGACATCTAGAGTATTTAACATGCATCTATAGCGCCTAATGTTGATGTTCACAGCGCACTCTATGCGTAAAATAGTGCATACGGCCATGCAGTCCAGTTGAATATTAAGGATACATAGGAATATTGCGGACAATTTCTTAATATGTAACTATGTGGACAATTTTCGAAAATCTAAGGATACAGTTGTTAAGGAATTACACCAAATTATCGCCTGATCCAGACGAGAATACCAAAGGCACTTCAATTGAAAAATGTATTGCAAATCCTTGTAATATTGAAAATTGTCAAAAATTTTGACAGTTTAACAAAAATGTTAGTTGTCGCTTCTACAGGGCGATCCTCAAATGCTTGACTAAAAACTTTGCTACGCAAAAATGTGCCTCATCGAAATATTGATTTTAGACCCCTTGTAACATAATATTTTAACTATGCCTGTATAATCTTGTAAAATGGGACATATCGGTCCACTCTTTCTACTGCTTCCACAACAAAGGGTCGACATTTCGGAAGCTCGGCAAATAATTCTAAGTTTATCCTCAAAAATAATATCACATACAAACGCTCTAATATAAAACACACTGCATTCACATTACACATGTTTTCGAAGTTTACATATGTAACATCACATCAAAGCAATGAGCTGTATTAGATTGACACAAACTAAACATTTATTTTATTACATTCTAGAAGAAATATAGTTTGAATAAATACAAAACTGAACACAAGAATACTTGTTTACTTACATTTTAAAAGACAACGTTCATTATCATTATAAGTTTCACAGAATTTCACATACAAAATTAATGTATATAGTCGCAGCTACTGCTACGCAGTGGGTTCTCCATCAATTACATTTCTTCGTCGACTTTACAAAATCGCATCAAGACGCAAAACTTTCAAGTGCTTCTGAAGTGACGCTTAATTGCCAACACATTTGAATGAAGTCTTTTAAAAATGAGTTTCGAAGCGAGTCATTGTTCGCGGAATGAATCGTAAATCTTTCTTCCAATGTATATCTTAGAATGCAACCAAGCAAGCAAACAAACATAGCTTTTGAACTCAGAACGTTAAGTAGACCTATCGACCGACCGACCGAGCGACCACCCGCCCCTCTCCATCATCATTGCGACCAAGTGACAAATTACATTGGGAAATTTTCAACTGTATTTCTTGTATTTCATTTCAGTGCCGAAACAAGTGCTCATGGATCGCTACGAAACAGAAATTGAAGCTGATGAACCAGAAGACTTCGAGGGCGATGTTAATGATTTGTACGATGATGAATTGTTTTACAAGGAGTCGGAGGCAATTCCGAAGCTGTACAGTAACACCACTGTTCCGGCGGCACGCAACAATGCCAGCATTACTCTGAATGGAACCTACAATGCAGTGACAAGTGTTAATAGAGCCAATAATGCCACACTGGGTATGTTTGAGGGTGATATGGGCGGCGTTAATCCCGTAATGACACACAGCGCCGACATGACTCTGGAAGGTAATTAAACTCGACTACCACTGTCCCAAAATAATGAACGGGATGGGTGGTGGTGTAGAAGTACAAATACAAAACAGAACAACAGCAGTGCAGTGTGGCAAGCTGCCACCAGCCATGACTGAACTTAACAAATGGTATTGCAATTAAGTAAAGGATTTATTGCTGTGTCTTTTCTTGCTTAGCAATTGCTCGGTATAAAATCTGAACTTTTGGGTTCCCAAAAGAAGTATTGAGCAAAAAATCCCCCATAACAAAAAGAAGCCAAAAAACAAACAAACAGAAAAGTTTGTGGTCATATTTCTTCCCATACTTTGTCTTAAGCGAGCGTGTGTATGTGTATTAGCTCCACTCATTTTATGTGTTTTTTTGTGTTTTGCTCTCCACTTTTTTCTATAACTGTTTACTGGGCCCATATGCAGACGACCAGGAACGATTGTTTGTTTATCTGCTGACTGCCGGTTCGTTGGGTGTCATACTCTGCATAGTTGCGATTGCGGTTAGGCTAGTGGTTCTCAAACGTCATGATAGTGCAACTGACACTCATTCAACTTCGTCGGGCAAGGGAGGTCCGGTCACTGGTGCCTGCTCCGGGGGCATTGCGGGCGTCGAAGGAGTCGCTGAGACTACAATACCGAACGGTTTCAACGACACAATTTCCGAAGTAGATGCTGACATCGATTTGCAAACGCCAATTCCGGTGCCAAGTGTGTCAAAGAACGAGGTAAGCAAGTGTCCAGCCAACCACTAGTGGTCATATTCTCTCGTATATACGGGCGGTTTTATTATTTGTGTTCCTTTATGTTGTTTGGATGAGTTTTTATTCTTTTTTGT